TTCAGTTTAATCATGTTTGGCATTATTGGCTCATGAATTTTTTTTTTTTTTTTGCATTTGAATAATAATTGTATTAACTTATTTTTCTTTCTGCAGTTATTGTTAGGTGCTGCTGAATTGGTTCTGACTCATAGCAACCCCATGTACAATAGATCAAAACATTGCTTAGTCCTACACCATCCTCACAATCCCTGGAGGCATGTACATGTTATCCTATCACAGACAGCACTATACTTTAAGATAGATCTTGAAATGTTCTTTTTGACAATGAATACAATGTCATTCCTCTTCAATTTTTCATTCCTGGCATAGTAGACCATATGTTTGAAAATAAGAGTTTAAAATTGCCCTGAAATACAGGCATATTTGCTATTAAAAGAGTAGGCTGACATCTTTTCTAACCCCTTTAATGCACATGAGGTGGCCATGAGTCTGGTTGGCTTTATGCACAGGAAGGAATTCATTTCAATGCCAAAGTTAGTTAATGATATCATCTAGCTTTTTATAAGTGGTCAGTTTTTGACATCTTTCTCAAATTGTATGTCCTTTTAAAGGGTGTGCCTCCCCCTTGAAAATTACAACCTAACGGAGCCACAGTTACGTGAGTGTGTGGTACCTGCCTTAGATGTTGGGATGGGCAAGAGATTGAGAATTGTTGCTGGGACACACAGTTATTCACAAGCCCCTCTCTCTCTTCAGGCCTATTCATCTCTAATGAAAATTTCCAAAAAACCCAGGTTGCCATCCAATCCTGGGGCCAAGACTTCCTGGTACAGTGTGCATCTATGTGTGTGTGTGTGTGTGTGTGTGCATTTGTGTACATACATTGTTGGCTTGTTAATTTATTTACATATCTATTTTTATACTTAGGCTTTTTCTTCATGTCAACTTAAAAAAAATTCAGAATTCATTCCGTCTTCTAATCCTTATGTTTTTACCAGATCACAGTGTAGATCTTCCTGGCTTGTTCACTAATTTGGCAGAAATGACTAGATCCAGATCCCCAGGCCCAGTAAGAAGAATAACATGTTCCCAAATGAATTACCTGATCTTTGTTGGGCTGCTGGATTCTTTTGCCAGAGGTGTTTTGGCAATTTTGGAAATCAATGAGCTCAGACAATGAAGGCATTGTTTAGAACTACAATTCTTATCTCCTTCTACTTCATCTATGGGTTCATTTTTTTGTCATGTGTGTTACCTATGCAAGGATCCTTGTGTGGAGTAGCATCTAACCTCCTTTTCAGAGGTGCAGTAATCTAGGGCATATGTGCATAAAGTTTGTGGGAAAAATGGAAAGAAAGGAATTTTCCCACTAACATTTTAATGACCCCTTGCATTGTATTATGTGAGGGTAGACAGAAGATGAGGGATGCATATGGAAAGTCATATTGCATGATGGCTTTGGAGATGGGCTCTGGAGCTGGGCACACAAATGATGTAACTGCTCTGTGCCTCAGTTTCCTCATGTAAATAATGGAAATAATAGTAGCATCTGCCTGACTGGTGACTGCAAATTCAATTAGATGATACACATAAAAAAACTAGAATGTTGTTGTGAAGTGCCACTGAGTCAGTTCCAACCCATAGAGGCCCTATGTAGGGTTTCCAAGGAGCATCTGGTGAGCTTGAACCAGCGACTTTGCAGTTCAAACAACTTTGCAGTCTGGCGCATTAGCCCACAGCACCACACCAGGAATCTGAAAAAAGACTAGAATAGTACCTAGTTTCTACTGAGCAGTCTGTAGCTGTTAGCGACTTTACATATCAGTAGTATAAAAAATCAAAATGAGATTTGGGTAAGCAATTTCATTTTTATAGTCAACAGTCAAAATTCTTAAAAATTACTCTCTGGATGATCATTTTCTCCTAAAGAAGAGTATATTTGTTGATGTCTTTGAGGCTACGTGTACTTCTGAAAGAAATCTGTATTTTTAAAAAAGTGTTTGTTTTTGTTTTAGAATGAAGTAGACCTCCATCCAAATGCTCTGTAATTGGAGTGTTTATAAGTAGCGTAGTGGTTAAGAATCGGGCTGCAAATCTCAAGGTCAGCAGTTCAAAACTACCAGCTGTTCTGCGGGAGAAAGATGAGGCTTTCTGCTCCCATAAAGATATATGAGTTGGAACTGACTCCATGGCACTTAACCACCACCACCACCATAGGTATGTATGAGGATTTAACAACCTTCCTTAAAAGGCCGTATCTCCTTCCATTGTTTGATTGCTCTAGATAACAGTTATAAACCGTGTGCCCACCAAAAGATAATGCTGAAGTCCTGTGAATGTGACTTCATTTGAGAAAATAGAGCCTTTCTTTAAAAATGTTAGCAGTTAAGTCATACTGAAGTAGGGTGGGTCCTAGTTCTAATCCCTTCTGAGTGGTGTCTTATAAAGGGTAGAAGAGACGCAGACACAGTCACATGGAGGGGCAGGATACCACGTAAAGAGACATATCCAAGACACAGAATAAAATACCAAAGACCTCTGGCAGAAGCTGGGAGAGAGGCATGGGGCAGTTTCTCCTTCAGCGTCCTCAGAGGGACATGGCTGACACCTTGGTTCGGACCTCCCAGTTTCTAGAACTATTGAGAAAATAGATTTCTTTAAAGTCACCCATTTTGTGATATTTTATTATGGAAGGCCCAGGAAACTAAGATAATAATTTACAAACATGATATTCCAAACATATTAAATGAGAATGGCAAGTCATGCCATGCTGGTCCCAAAACACCAGTTTGCACCTTGTACGATTAATAGGAAAGGCTCTTCTCTTTGCCCTCACAACTGTGAAAGTGTCTGTGCCTAGAATCTCACAAGAAATCTATTAATATCCATCTTGAAATAAATTAAGAATCCTGTCCTATCTAGGTTCAAACCCTCCAGCTAGCTGCTTCTTGGAAACGCTATGCAGGATTGCTATAGGTCAGAACTGACTCGATGGTACTTTAATACCAACAATATCTTTTCTCAGGTGCATCAGCAGAGGAAAAAGTACTTCAAACTAGCCAACTATCCCCAGGGAAAAAATGCTCAATGTTGGCAGGGAAAGAGAAGTTGACAACCTCAAATTCCAATTTTTAATCACAGGCTGATGATCAGATTAACAATTGAGTTTGGCATAAGAAATACTTCTATGAGAAAAATTAACATTGAATAATTTAACTCAGGGAGAGAGAGAAAAGACTTGCCTAAGCACCTGAAATTCTATAAAATTAAACTATTAAACTGTTTTATATGAAAAGGAAAAGGAACAAAGATAAGGGGATTGCCACCAACGCAAACATCAAGTTTGAATGTAAGATAATTAAAAATTTAAATAAAGGTAGAATAGCTCTGTTGTTCATTGAATTATTTAAAAAATACCACTTGGAGTCTTCGTGGCAAGCAATGAGATGAGAAAATGAAGGCAATGTTTAGAACTATAACTCTTATCTCTTTCTACTTGATTGACTGCCTCATTTTTTGCATGTGTGTGTTACCTATGCAAGGATCCTGTGTGGAGTGACATCTAACTTCTCTTTTCGAGGTACAGAAATATAGGACATATAGGAACAGACTTCAGAAAATTTTTGGAAAGATGGAATTGAAAGATAATCCAATGACCAATCCTGAGTAGAAAAAAAAAATCTTCTTGGCTGTAAATGACAATGACATATTTAAGGAATCCACGGTCATTTAAAAATGATAACAAATTTCAACCAGACATATTTGAATTATAACTCTTGTTACAGAAAAATTTTCATTTGTAATTAGGATGAAATGAAGATTTTTAAAATTTTTATTTTTTTTAGGAGAATGAGAAAGAAACATTTTTCACAAAACTTAAGAGTGCATTCAAGATTATTTGGAATTTTGGGACCGGGTAAAGCATTCTTGGATATAGTATCATTCATATGATCTCATGGATATAACTACTATACAACTCTATGGGCAACACCACATTCTAGCTCATCATCCAGGGACATTTGGTGGAAGTAGAAGAATTTCTGCTGTTTGGAGGCATTTCTAAACATAAGCGTGCGCTTCATTACATGAAATCACCAAATGGTTCAGCTGGACATTTCATTGTTTCCATGGCATATTGAAGAGTCACGAAATCAGGAACAAACCCAACCTCTCAACAGTGTTAAGGAGTAAAAGAAGACTGTGCTCAAATGAATTCTAACCCATAGCCATGCTTCCTACTGATCATCTAAGGTCAGAGGGGAAGAAAATTAAGGACATTTAGAATCTTTGTTGAGTCTAAAGTCAACAATGTGCTCTTCCTAAAATGTTAAAATTTAGAAATAAAGACCTTTTAGCAGTCATTTGTTACTTTAACACATCCCAAGCAGTCTTAGGGAACTCCTGGCTCTTTAGGCTAAGCACTGGGCTGTGAACTACGAGGTTGGCGGTTCACGTTCACAAGCCGCTCTATAGGAGAAAGATGAGACTTTCTGTTCCTGAAAAGATTTACAACCTCAGAAACCCTTTATAGGGTCACTATGAATTGGAACTGACTGGATGGCACCTAACAACACAAACAACCTTACTTTGTAAATTCCTAAACCCATTGTCCTGGAGTCAGTTCTGACTCAGAGTGACCCTATTGGACAGAGGGTTTCCAAGGCTTTCATCTGCAGAACACACTGCGTGTCTTTCTCCCAAAGAGTGAGTGCCCAGTGGGGTGGCTCGTGGGTTCACTTGGCTCTACTGACCTTTCCTGGTAGCGTCGAGGGTTTAACCACTGTACCACCAGGGTTCCTTAATTTGCAGATTAATAAAATAAATAGATAAACTAGAAAACATTTTCATGCATTTACAAGTTCCACAGACGTGTAAGACACTGAAAAATTATGTTGTTCTTGTTAAGTGCTGTCCAGTCAGTTCTGATCCATAGCAACTCTGCATAGGGTTTCCAAGGAGCCACTGATGGCTTTGAACCACCAGTCTTGTGGTCAGCAGTCCACACTGACTCTACAGTACCATGGAATAGTATATTCCCTTTGCTTTAAGAGACTTACATCATAGCCGCTGTTGCGGATTCCACGCCGGGGTCGCTCCCGTGTCACCAGAAGGTCCATCTCAGTTTCCCCTGGACTTGGGCTGTTCAGAGATTGCCGGCTTCTGTAGACAGAGTTCTTCATCTGTTGCCTGAAGACAATTCAACAACTGTTATGATGCAGCAAATGCCCTGACAGATGGAATTTTCTACTGATCCAAATGACAGGCAACCAAAGAAGGGTTTGGATTTGCCTCACACATCTCAGAATTGATGATATTTGTTCCTCAGTCATAAGCGGTTGTAGAAAAAGTATAATAAAGATTTTTCTTCCCCCTCTCTCCCCCAACCCCATTCTGTAACCATTTGGCTGAATTGTAAATGCCTTTTTATATAGAAACTGGGGAACCACAATCAATTGCACCACTGCAATCTCATTGAATACTGTGCTGCTGAAAGACCAGGGGTTTTCCTGTGACCCTCTAGAACAGCTAACATTGGGAGAACAAACTTGTCTTTGTCAACATAGCAGCTTCCTTTTCATTCTTCTGACCTCACAGGCAGGGCTTCTAAGATGCATTCATAACCCCCCCAGCTAATGGGCCACTTAATATCATAACTGTTGACAGACTTCTGAGCTAAGGACCCACAAACCTTATGGAGGCTCCTCGCTCCCTCCTGGAGTGGTGCTGTAGGACAAGCAGTTGACTGCAAGGTCAGTTTGAACTATAAGGTTGGCGTTTCAAACTCACCAACTGTTCCTCGGAAACCCTATGCAGAGTCACTCTGAGTCAGAACCGACTCGATGGCACCTAACAACAACAATAATATTTACCAGGAGTGCTGTAGGATAATGAACTGCACCACAAGGTCACTTTGAACCACAAGGCAGGTGATTCAAAGTTACCAGTCACTCCTCGGAAAACCTATACAGGGTCGCTATGAGGTGGAACCAGCTCGACGGCAATTAACAACAACAATATTTATGCAGTGCCTAAGTGGCAGCATCGATGGACTCAAGCGTGGCAACAGTAGTGAGGTTGGCACAGGATTGGGCAGTGTTTCGTTCTGCTGTGCATAAGGTCGCTATGAATCGGTATTGACTCGATGACACCTAACAACAACAACAACAACTATATGCCAGGCGCTGTGGAAGAAAAGGAAGCTCCACAACTGAACAAGACAGCAATGGCTCCTGCCCTCCTGGAACTTACGTTCTAATGAAGGAAGACAATTAACAAAACCATTTCCAAGTGATAAAGTGGTAGTAAGGACAAACAACCAAACCTAAACATGTTGTCTTTGAGTCAGTTCTGACTCATAGCGACCCTACAGGACAGAATAGAACTGCCCCATAGGTATGTTTCTAAAGCTGTAATCTATAGGATAGAGTAGAACTGCCCCATAGGGTTTATAAAAGCTATACATTTTACAGAGCAGTCCCAGTGTGGTGCTATAGGATAAAGCACTGGATTGCAAGGTCACCTTGAACTGCAAGGTTGACAGTTGAAACCCACCAGCTGCTCCTTGGGAACCCTATGTTGTTGTAAGCGTAGTGGTTATGAATTGGGCTGCTAACTGCAAGGTCAACAGTTCGAAACCACCAGCTGCTCCATGGGAAAAAGATGAGGCATTCTGCTCCCGTACAGATTTACAGCCTCGGAAACCCTGTACAGGGTTGCTATGGGTCAGAACCGACTCAACGGCACTTAACAACAATAAATCTTTCCTGGAGCAGAACACCTCATCTTTCTCCCGTGAAACTTCTGGTAGTTTAGAACTGCTGACCTTGAGGTTGGCAGCCCGACTCGTAACCACTACGCTACCAGAGCTCCTTTGGGAACCCTATACAGAGTTGGGATGGACTTGATGGCATTTAACAACAACAACAATCTTGACAGAAGCAGTCTGCCTCCTCTTTCTTCCCCATAGTGGCTGGTGGGTTTAAACCTTTGACCTTTTGGTTAGGAGCCTAGTGCTTGATCACTATGACACTATGGCTCTAAAAGGACAAACAAGGTAATCCAAAAATGGACAAAGGACTTGAATAGACATTCCTCTAAAGGTGATATAAAAGTAACTAATAAGAATATTGTTATTGCTAAGTGTCATTGAGTCAGTTCTGACTCGCAGCAACCCTGTATAGGGTTTCCGAGGAGTAACTGGTGATTTTCAACCATCAATCCTGCAGTGCATTACCGTGCAGTGCCACACCAGGGCTCCCAGTAAATATTAGCATAAGAACATGGCTACTTTGATTTTTTAAAAATGGAACATAGCAAGTGTTGGTAAGAGCATGGAACATTTGTCCACTGCTGGATAAAATGTAAAATGGTGAACGGTTTTTTGTGGTTCTTCAAAAAGTTAAACATAAAATTACTGTATGACCCAGAAATCCCACTGCTGGATATAGACCTAAAAGACATGAAAGAAGAGACTCAAACAGATACATGGACACCAATGTTCACCACAGCATTATTTACAACAACCGGAAGGTGGAAACAACCCAAGTGTCCATCAGTTAATGAATGCATAAACTAAATATGGTATATGCACATAATATAATATTATTCAGCCATAAAGAGAACTGAAGTTCTGACACACTAGGACACAGATGAACCCTGAAAACATTATGCTGAGTGGAATGTCAGACACAGGTTCAGATTTGTATGATCTCATTTATATGGAATATCTAGAATAGACGAATGCATACAGACAGAAAGTAGATCATTGGTTCCCGTGAGCTGGTGGGAACGGGGAGTTAGTGCTTACTCGGAACAGAATTTCTCTTTGGGATGATGAGTTTGGAAATAAATAGTGGTGATGGTGGTACAACGTGGTGAGCGTGATTAATGCTACAGGAATGTAGACTGAAAAGAATTAAAATGGCAAAGTGCTGGACTACCAACCATAAGGTCAGTGGTTCAAAGATACCAGCTACTCCTTGGAAATGCTATATAGGGTTGCTATTAGTTGGAACTGATTCAAGTGCACTTAACAGCAACAACATATTTCACTGTATTTTAAGAGAGGAAAGGAAAAGCCGAAACACAAAACCCTAAGGAGATGTGATGGTAAGGGGCTAAGATGAGGGATTCTTTAGACAGTACGGTCAGGGAAGTTGTTTCTGGGGGAGTGATGTTTGGGATGGAGCCAGCCATGGGCTGATCCAGGCATAGAGCAACTCAGTTCCAGGGACCGGCACATCCAGAGGCTCCACTCAGCTACCCTAGAAAATGCATAATTTGTCACCATCGTCTTCTTTCATCTGTCATTACAACCAGTTACTGTTGAGTCAGTTCATGTGTGTCAGAACAGAACTGTGCTCCATAGGTTCTTTTATTATTATTATTGTGAACTGAGTGATAGTTTACATGGGAGAACATCGACTTTACACCACTGTTTCATTGCAATGATTACAATCTCCACCGTGCATCATCATGCAGTATTTGCTTCCATTCCCTCTGTTTGTTTGTTTTTTTTTGTTTTGGGGTGGGGAAAGGTGGGGATGTACACAAAAAGACTCAAGAATATATAATAATTTAAACAACCAAAGGGCACATTCTGCAAGTCTGCCTCCTGGCCACCAGAAACCAGTCCCTCTCTTTCCATGAGTCCAGAGTCTTCAGTTGCTCTGTGTCTCCATGTCCTTATCTCTGCCTCCATCTCTGTCATTGCTGCTTCTCTGGCTAGGGTCCTGCATTCTGCTCATGCTCTTATCCCTTGATGGTCCTAGGGGCCTCTGTTTCTGGACTGTAAGATTAACTACTCCCCCTTTTT